TAAACAGAAGTCTGTATCTACGGAAACTATTATTTGTGATTTCTTAGAGAAATTAAGATTTAGAATAACTGTTGATAAATTTAGATTTACCCCTAGCAAATTTCATAAATATTGGCTTGATCCCGGTTTATTTTGTTTGTTAGATAAAAATGGTAAGTTGTCTTTTAGTTTTTGAATTATGAAAATTTCTCGACTTTTTAATTTAGATTCTTTTCACTTCACATTGTGATTATTCTGTTGTATTAGCTATAGTTTGTTGTGTATTATAATATTGTACATGTGTTTATGTGTATTATGCTTGTAAATATGTTTATTGTTTTATATTATTTGGTGTATATACGTTTTTGGTAATATTTTTGTTAACAGTTAATTTGTACTTTGTTTATTTTTCTAATTGCAATTTAAAGTAAATAATGACAATATTTTAACATTATTCACTCCCCATCATCAATTTTTTAATTTTTATCTTTGTACATTTTTACACTGTTTGTACATAGATGATGGGATTTTTGATATGATGTATAATATTTTTATTGAGTGAATAAATTCTTTATAAAAAAAAACAAAAAAAACCAAAAAAAACCCGAGGAATTAGGGCATCTCCTAACATTGTCCGGTGAGAGTTACCTCTCTTTGCCAATTTCCTTTATAAATAACAGTTTATGGGATAGGCCGATAACAATAGCACAATCATCAAGGGCGGATAACTTGAAAACGTGCCCCCCCCCCCCCCCCCCTAGATTAACCCAGGGTATAGTGGAGTAGAACGGAATGAGTACACTGGGTAACCGAGGATGAGTTATACAAGTTATCGTCATACGGCAAATACATTAAATACACAACACAAAAAACGGCCGGCAAATTTAGCTGTCTTAGTGACTTTATCTGTAGCTGCCTCATTAATAAATTAATAATTTTTCAGTCTATGAAGAAATGTCTATATTTGCTAATGTGGTTTAGGAGAAGTAACGTAAAACTTAATGGACGCCGGACAAGGGATTTGATGCAGGTCATCTGGAATAGAAACAAATGCTACATATAATTTCATTTTCATTTTTAGTTACAAATACAAAATGGTGGATACAAAAGTACTAAGTGGTTCGATTATGTTGCTGTTGTTTGCAGTTTTAACCATGGCACCGCCTACAGATGCCGTTTTTGGATGTTATAGCACTTGGAGCAGATGTAGTGGCTGGACTTCCGATGGAATCGATAGGTTTTGGCAGAGTTGCGGAACCCGATGTAGAAGCATCGGCTACAGTTCCGGGCGTTGTGTATTAAGAAATGCGTCCGAGTGTCCAGGTGTTTATGAACCCTTCCAATGTCAGTGTAGCTGAACGAAAAACCAACAACACCTTTAAAATTATAGCTTTTTAAATATCTACGATTGCCTTTATTTTAAGATTTTTTGCATGTAAAAGAGAAAGAAAACCCCCCTACTCGTTTGTTTTTGATAAGTAATGCTATGTTGTAAGATTTGAATTTGCACCTATCATTTATTTCTATGTGAAAAGTCTTATTTTTGTTCTTGTTTGCTTGTTGTGTCTTCTACCGTGGTGCTGTTTTCTGGTGGTTGTAGTTTATTCCACCACTTACAAAGATATACACGCTTTGGATTAAAATAATTATATAATATTATTTGATAAGAAATGTTATAGGATACAGATGATTTTATACAGATGACGATATGGACTTAGCAAGAACTCGATTTGACTGTAATTACGTTATCGTAACATATAAGCATAAACTCAAACAGTTAAAAAAAAACATTGGGCAATTGGTGCTTTAATTCAAATTAAATAATAATATAATATATAAAAAGATACGCAATAATACCTTTTACTTGTACTTGTAGATATAATTGCGAATAAACTATTCAATCTTTTTTTTCAAAAAATAAGCCTTTTTTTCACTTAGGTATTACAGACAAAGATAATATTGTCATGAATTAGTCGACAGTCAGAAATGGAATGATGTTTAACGTCCTCGACTGTTTTGCTATAAATGGGAGAGAGAGAGAGAGAGAGAGAGAGAGAGAGAGAGAGTTTAACGTCCACTCGACACAGATTGGGTCATTTCGGGACTAACACATGGGATGACGTATCCCCGTCTTTATTACCCCAGTCAGCTAGCTCCCGTACCCAGTGGGGGACCGGGTCTGAAAATATCGTGTGTCAGGAGACAAAGGGAGTCCAAGCACCAATACAATTCTATCATTTTATATTTTCATGCTAATAATTTTGTTCTAATATTCATATATTTGGGATAATTTATATTTTAAATATACTGTCTAATGTCTAAGGGGCCCCACTTGCCATTGGACAAGCTGACAACCTGGCCAGTCTGCCACTGATTGGATATAAATGTTTGTTTGCGGTGTAGAGAGAGACAGAGAGAAATGGGGTTTAAAGTCCACCCGACACAAACTAGGTCATTTCGGGACTAACATTTGGTTCAATTTTTATTTCCATAATTCGCTTGCGCGCAGGGGTCTTTAGCAGTGAGAGGAAACCGGAGGACCAGGAGAAAACCCACGAGGTTGGACAGGCGACCCTACTCCGTGTTATGTACAACCGGGGAATCGAAACCACGCCAGTTGACTCAATGACAGACTTTATGATACAGCGCGCACGTGCTAACCATTCAGCCATCCACCCCCACCCCACCCCTCTAAATGTGATAATGATGAGCGCCTTCCAATGTGGTATAGTAAGAATTTTGCCCGGGTAGCGGTATTTCCGCCTCTTTTCCTCGTCAAATTTCAACTATCAATGGATCTTTTACGTGCACGCCAATGAGTAGCCTGCACGACTTGATCTTGGTTTTTCGGACAACCCGAACAACTAGATTTTCTTGTTTCTCTTCCGAACTGCAATACTGACAAGAGGAAACCATGCTGCAATACTCCTGGTACACAGTGATAGAACTGAGCAATCGTGACTCCCAGAAAATGGTACCATATATGGTACGCACAATGTTTCAGTACATGGAAATCAAATAGTCGAAAAACATTCCCGTTTAAAGGAGCGAAGCACGGCGACGGCGGGTATGGGGGCTTCACCCAGAAAATTTTGATAATAAGATGGCCGCTAGAGCGTTTACCTGCAAGTACAGCAGCTAGAAAGTGGTGTCACATAGCCTTTTATATAACTTTGCAACCGAAATCCCACTCTTCGTCCACCTGACAAGATCATGTGAGGTGGGGTGAACAAGTGAAATAGCCGATCGCTGGCGAGGTTTTCCTGTCCTTCTAGCTTGTGAGTATAGCAAGTAGAAAGTGGTTGAATATAGTTTTAAAACTGTAAATCCCACTGTTTAGCCACTGAGAAATCGGCACTTGAGAAGTCGGGTGGGGGGGGGGGGGAATAAAATTGGTCAAAATAAATGCCGCATGCCGTCAAAGGGTATTAGGGGTAGATGGTGCATTGGGCCTCTCCCATAACACAATACAAATGAAATGAAATGAAATAGGGTTTAACGTCCTACTTTTGCTCCGATTGGGCTAATGAAGGCGAACATACGACCTACAGTGTGCTATGATTCCAATTTTGCCCGGGCAGCGGCCCTACGGCCTATTCTTATATCGATTTCCAACTGTCAAGGTATCTTTTACGTGCACGCCAATGTGTACATGGGGCCTCGGTTTTTCGTCCCATCCGAAAGACTAGACAGCTGTCCTTGTCAGGGCCTCCGTCCTGCATCGCTGACAAGGGGGAACCACGCCGGAAAATCTGGATAAACTTTCTCGGCCCGGCTACAAATGCGTTTCCCTTCTATTTCAGTCCGTGAATACATCAACTTGAAAGTTTTCAGTCAGTTAGTCAGTGGGAAGTAAAGTCCGCTTTCGCCTTGATGTTTATCGCAGACAAGTGTTTCCTGTGAAACTTGCTAGAGGGGCAAGACAAGAGGTTCGTCTCGCGCAGTTTGAAGATGGTCCAATGTAGTTTTATTTAAACGGATTTGCAACCCAAATCTCCCTCCATGCCCACCTGATTTCCAATTTACCAATCAATTTATTCACAAATAACAAAATAATAATATAAAAAGTCGTGTAGAATGGACTAAGCGGGCGAAAAGGATTGTCGTTCAATTTCACCGAACATAATTGATTAGAAATGACAAAAACAAATTTTAATATTGCATGTAACCAATCAGCGTTTAGGGCCTATGTTCCTAGTGTTGTTGTTGGGGGGGGGCGAATGGTTAGCACGTGCGCGCTGTATCATATGATCTGTCATTGAGTCAACTGGCGTGGTTTCCTTTCCCCGGCTGTACGTAGGATCACCTGTCCAACCTCGTGGGTTTTCTTCGGGTCCTCCGGTTTCCTCACATCGCTATAAAAGACCCCTACACGCAAGCGAATTATTGAAATAAAATTTAACAATATGTTAGTCCCGAAATTACCTAGTTTGTGTTGAGTGGACACTAAAAACATCTCTCTCTCTCTCTCTCTCTCTCTCTCTCTCTCTCTATCCTATTGGTAATTTCAACGAGCACCAAAACGGATTGGGTCTTTTATGAAATTTATATATATACTTTTTTATATCAGATATATTTTATTAGATATAAGCCTATACCTTTCGGGCAATACCGGTACATAGAAGTCGACAATATATACACATCCACACACACACCTACACACACCTACACACACACACACACCCACACACACAAAAAAAAAAAACCAAAAAAAAAAAACCATGAAGAAACAAAAAAATAAACTGATTGTTGATCGATTAATGATTTTTTTTAATTTTTTCCTTTTTTTATTTACTTGGGCCTAGGCTGCATTAATACCGATTTTGTTTCAAAACACGTCAGACACCACCGTGTGACCACGGCACAAGCTACAAGCTTCAATTAAATAATGACGAATTAGAATCTCTAGTATGAGAAATGTACATGAAAATTATGTCGTCGATTTGTTGCAATTTCCTGAAACAAGGGAGAAAACTCCATTTAATATTTACTATTATTAACCAATCAAAAATGATGGTTTCCTTTGCAGCAGGTTCTTTTCAATATGGCCGCTGGAGACACTGCTTTGTGGCTTCATAATAAATTAGGCTCCACGGATGATTTGTGGTCTGGGCGAACAATATGTTCCCAGCTTTCGCAGGAACGTTTGCAAAGTATCCAAGAATGTTTTCACACACTCCAGCCGCATGTCAAGGTGAAGCTTTTGCTGGCATTCCTTCATATGCCCAGACGTAATACCGAACAGGTGAAATGCCTTTTTTTGTTTACATTTTTAGTTCTATTTAAACTCCGTAACCACTGTTTCCACCCAATATTTTACAAATGTAACATAATAAAAATTGAACGTAACAATCTCCGTATCAAATAATGTTTTATAATTCATCATAAAATGTACGTTACATATAGGTTTATATCCGTTTCAATGCTCCTTTGCTGACCATCACCATGTCCATGACCAGGATATAGAATGGTAGATCTAAGCCTATTATTATTGAAACAGATGGTTTGTTGCCCATTAATATCAATATAATTTGTGTCATTGTACGGTGCAGGGTCCAGGTTCCCTCCAAACCAAAGATTACTGAGTCTACATGAGCGAGTAGGCCTACATGCATTCAGCATTGTACCTCTTCTCTCTGATCGGTAGCCTACTCGAGGATACCACATTGCTGTAAATGCTATAAATGCTGCATGCAGATAACCATACTCCTAACCACTGTACTTGCAATAAGTCAAAAAAGAAACTGTGTATCCGACTACTGCTCTAGATTATTTACTGTGACATGGTATCATCGAGTGGCTACCCATCTCTCAATCCGCCTTGTCTTTAGAGAAGAGATTTTGAGCTATACAATGTAGTTTTCTTTGGAGACAGCAACTGTTGTCAACACTTTCAAAAACATATAATTCTTCAAAACAATGCTTGATTATTTAATTAATTTCCATTAATTAATTTGTTCTATTTACATGTACCATAAGCATAGTATTAGATGATAAATATATGATTCGTGTGTGACAACTTTATTATATTGAGTTTGTAATTGATATTTTCAATTGTGATTTTGTTAATATTCTTTTGTAAATATTGCTCTTCTGTTTTCAAATTTCATTTTTAACTTCTTTAACTTCTGTTATAAAGGGCAAAATGTAAGGCAGGCCTCCTGGCCTAATTTTCAACCCTTTGAAAATAAAGTTATTATTATTATTATTATTATTATTACAGTTAAGTATATAAATTGACACAGATATAAATGATTTTATATCAATCCAAGTGGTCAAACCTGTAACTAGTCAGATATATAAGGTGTACTAGTTCTGTGACTCAAGCAATCTATGATCATGGAGCAGTATTTTTGATCAGTTTCGAAAAAGTGCTACTAAACACAATATAAACAAGATTACTGTTCTCTAATATTTTCAGGTTTTACGGATAGTCTATATCCACATGTACCAAGTACTAAGGGGTTAACTGAGGGTAATCTATATCCTCATGTACCAGGTACTAAACGGTTAACTGGAGTAGTTGATATTTACATGCACAAGGGGCTAAAGGTTTAACTGGGGTAGTCTATATTTACACATACAAGGGTCCAAAGGGTGATGTTTCTCAGAGCTAAATTAGTGTAAGGCCCCAAAAACTACTAAACCTGTCATAATTATTTGAGGAGTGTTTGGTAACATTGAATAGAACGCACTGTCCAACTAATAAATATATGTTTTAATAACCTACATGGCTTGGATACTTGCATTCTGTAGCCAAACTTCTGGAAAACAATGCCGATTCGGGCTGTTGTAAATACCCAAATTTCAGTGTTAGAATTTATGTAGGGAAAACCAGACCAAGGCCGATTTATAGGGAGAGAAATGGGGTTTTATTTCAATAATTTGCTTGCGCATAGGGGTCTTTAGCAGTGGGAGGAAACCGGAGGACCCGGAGAAAACCCACGAGGTTGGACAGGCGACCCTACTCCTTGTCACGTACAACCGGGGATTCGAAACCACGCCAGTCGACTCAATGACAGACTTTATGATACAGCGCGCACGCTAACCATTCAGCCATCCAACCCCCTTAGATGTACATGTATTCTAGTCTGACTGAAGTATTTGACAATAAATATTATTTTTGTTTTGTTTTATATTTGTAGTGGAAGGCCGATCTAGAAGAAATTTTGACCATGGCTGAAAATGATTCTGATCCCTGGGTTACCATGGTTGCAGAAATGTTACGTATGTATCCGTCGACTGGAACCGTAAATCTTGATTTAGATGAAGTGAGCGGAACTTTCTCTGATGTCATCACAGATCTTAAAAAAATGAGTAAGTCCTTTGACAAGTTATTATAATTAGATAAATTACTAAAAAAAAACCAAGTCATAATTACTTAAAAACAAGTCATAATTACTAAAAACAAGTCATAATTACTAAAAACAGGTCATAATTGCTAAAAAAACAGGTCATAATTACTAAAACAGGTCATAATTAGATAAATTACTAAAAAAAAACCCAAGTCATAATTACTTAAAAACAAGTCATAATTACTAAAAACAAGTCATAATTGCTAAAAACAGGTCATAATTACTAAAACAGGTCATAATTACCACTGTAACCCAGGTATCATTTAATCTTGTGTATCTAGCACTAATTTCTTTCACATTCGTTTAATATCAATTCTTGGTTAAAAAATTTGTAAAAATTGTTTAAAATCATCAAAAATCATCTAATTTGTACTTGTGTCCAGTTTGTGTATCTAGCACTAATTTCTTTCACATTCGTTTAATATCAATTCTTGGTTAAAAAATTCGTAAAAATCGTTTAAAATCACCAAAAAACATCTAATTTGTACTTGTGTCCAGTTTAAAGTTGACCATTCAATTTTGATAATGAGTGTCCAATTTACAAGTGTTTAATTTCTCAATCACTGTTAAAAAAATAAACAACCCAAATTAATAAAGATTGGATATTAAACGAATGTGAAAGAAATTAGTGCTAGATACACAAGATTAAATGATACCTGGGTTACAGTGTACTGACCAGGGCCCTTATTCACGAAAACTTAAACTAAGATAAAATCGAAATTTTAAGAAATACTGCAATTCGATTGGCTGACCAGTAAAATCAATTTGCATATATCCAATGAAGTTGCAGAATTCCTTAAAATTTCCGTTGTTACTTAGTTTAAGTTTTCGTGAATACGGTCCCTGTACTCAATACCGGGTCACAATGGGGATGTCTTTCTGATCTGTGCTTGATACAGGTAAGTAATAGAGTACTGGTCTCTTGATTATAATTTTCTGGCTTTAAGTCACGACATGGGTTGATGAGAACATGCTGTCGGGTGTCACATCGACGGGGTTGACGTGGCATGTGTGTCTAGTTGTTAGGGTGTATTAAGAAAACTCCATATATTGATATATTGTGCATGTAACCATAGAGATGAAATTTATGTGGGTATAAGTTTTGTTGCTTGGCAACCTATCTTACATGTATAATATGCTGACTGTTGGTTTATAAAGTATATATTGTCATGTCATAAAGGGTTGCCATGTAATAAAGTATATATTGTCATGTCATAAAGGGTTGCCATGTAATAAAGTATATATTGTCATGTAATAAAGGGTTGCCATGTAATAAAGTATATATTGTCATGTAATAAAGGATTGCCATGTAATAAAGGATTGCCATGTAATAAAGTATATATTGTTGTGTAATAAAGTATATATTGTCGTGTAATAAAGGGTTGCCATGTAATAAAGTATATATTGCCATGTAATAAAGTATATATTTGTATTTTCAGTGAAGAAATCTCTAGAGACGAGGATGTTACCACTAGAATGTCAGTTTGTAAACAGATCAGCGTTAAATTCTATTGCTGGTCACTCTGCTCAACCAATCAAACATTTTACACTTAAAAGAAAACCAAAGTCAGCAACCTTAAAACGAGAACTTCTTCAAAAATGTAAGAATATTTTGACAGTTAAACTACCAATGAGTTTTGTTATGAGTACAAGAGCCAAAGTTGCCCAGTGAGTAAGACGTTGTCTCACTCCGAAATCTGGGGAGAGTAAGTCCTTGTCAGACAGGATGGTTGGGTGGCCGAATGGTTAACACATGCGCTTTGTATCATAAGGTCTGTCATTGAGTGAACTGGCGTGGTTTGGATTCCCCGGTTGTATGTGACAAGTAGTAGGGTCGTCTGTCCAACCTCGTGGGTTTTCTCTGGGTCATCCTGTTTCCTCCCACTCTTGAAGATGCCTACGTACAAGAGAATTATTGAAATAAAATTGAACCATGTGTTAGTCCTGAAATGGCCTGGTTTGTGTCGAGTGGATGTTAAACCTCATTTCTCTCTCCGTTGTCAGACATGGGTGTAGGACAAAGGGCCTGACGTGGAAAAAGCATTAGTCATTGGAGTGCGGCGAAAAGCCAAGGTGTTTGATCCCACGTAAAGGAAACCTTCTCAGTGGAATTTAAAATAAGAGTAGGACGTAGCTCCACTGTCCAACCAGTCTAAATTTCCCTCATATCACCTACATGACGTATGTCTCTTTTCATTAGCCTCATTAGTACTGAAAAATAGGACATTTAATCCCATTTCATTTCAATTTATCGAAATAGCCTCAATTCTATGAATAACCACTGAGATTAGACATGTATTATGTAAGATTTAGATAACAAGCTAAAAACGAGACCTGCAATAGTCAGATTTAGCTCTTACATAATATATCTACATGTACATGGGCCCAAACTGTACGGCTGGACGCCGGATTCATTTACTTGATTTGATATTTGTTTATTTCTTGCAATGTCTGTGTAGTTTGTCTTATCCGCATGTTTGTCTTGTTGATTTTGTTTTGTGTGTATTATTTAATTGAATTATACGTGTACATGTATATTGTGAATATATTGATCTATTTTATTTTTAAACAGCCAATGAAGTGTCTAATAATAGAAAGAATAACATGCCAAATAGTGTCCCAATTAAAATCAGAAGTTTTGTGAAAAAAATGGATGATTCCAGTAAGTATTTCATTTCTTGTTGTTTGTTCATATTCCACCTAGAGTGATTTCTGTTTTCCTCAAATAATTTGAAGGATACCAATTGTTTTCATGGTTTGGGTTTAAGGGAGATAACTCTTTTTATCATCTGTGTCCACGACCACAGATCACTAATGATTTCCCCTGTTAATTCTCGTCTCTTAGACTGGCTCTAACTTTTTCCCAAATTTTCGTTGGGTGGAACGCTTTCTACCACAGATGCAGCAACATGTGGCAACCTCTTACTCAAAAGGATGTATGAGCTTCACCATGGAAAACTTGAGATACACAAACTGGAAGTAAAGATCACTAAACATGCAATTTTCTGCCCTACATTTCAACCTAACTAACCTCTCAACTGTTCTATCCTTCCGTCTCAAAATCATGAATATTCACCAATATTCACCAGTATTTTCAAACCCTTTTTTTCAATTCTACACCAAAAAGTCAACAAATAACTGCCATGCAAAAGGCGGAAAAAGGGAAAGGCTGAGAAATACTAGAAATAACTTTTACACTTCATTCGTGGGTCTCGGGGTAGGAATATTTAGTGAGCTGTGTCTGTGTGTGAACTAAGATATGTCGACAATTTAACATGGAAGTCAATTGGGAGAGAGAGATTTAGTAATCTCTGTACCATTTCCATCTTCCAAATGGGGGTTGGATGGCCGAATGGTTAGCACGTGCGTGCTGTACCATAAGGTCTGTCATTGAGTCAACTGGCATGTTTTCGAATCACTGGTTGTATGTGACAAGGAGTAGGGTCGTCTGTCCAACCTTGTGGGTTTTCTCCGGGTCATCTATTTTCCTCCCACTGCTAATATAAAGACCCCTACGTGCAAGCGAATTATTGAAATAAAATTGAACCATGTGTTAGTCCCGAAATGATCTAGTTTGTGATGTTAAACCCTTTCTCTCTTCCTCCGTCTTCCAAATACAGTTTTAGCTGAGATATATACAATATTTTTTAGAGGTCCAAAGAATATTAATAAATGTTTTTGTTATTTTGTAGCTCCATTGAAAGGATTACCGAGTCGAACCCCTCTACCGTCTGGCTACAGAACACCAAGTTCTGGTTTAGCCCGGTTAAATAGCTCACCGATTGGTCACATGCCAATAGCACCCAGATCAGGATCCAGCAAGAAAGAAGGCGGAATAAAGGTACCTTCATTGATTTATTTTTTTTATTACACCCACAGTTTCGTATTTATGATCTAAGGGGCCTTCGACCAAGGGAGATTGGATGGCCGAATGGTTAACGTGTGCGCATTGTATCATTAGGTCCTGACATGGTTTCAATTCCCTGGTTGTAGTGACAAGGAGTAGGGTGGCCAGTCCAACCTCATGGGTTTTCTCTGGGTCCTCCTGTTTCCTCCCACTGCTAAAGACCCCTTTATTATTGAAATACAATTGAACCCAATGTTAGTCCCGTAATGACTTAGTTTGTATCAAGTGGACCTTAAACCCTCTCTCTCTCTCTCTCTCTCTCTCTCTCTCATCCATTTTGTTGCGGAGAAGGGGAGAAATAGAGAAGGGGGGAAATAGAGGACGGGGAGAAATAGAGGACGTTGAAGCCTATTTCACTTCATGTCATTAATATTTATGTTCATCTTTTCTGTATCTATAGTTTTTGGATATTGGTGAGCAGCCTATCGGTTCAAAAGAAGCTAAAAGACGAAAGAAACAAGCAGGTAAGAATTTGTATCTATTTTTTTACTGATGGTTGGGTGTGTGTATATGGTGTTCTGCAGTGTTTCTCTGCAGGCATCGTTTATTTTTATTTGAAAAAAAATGGAGATTGTTGTATTGAGTGTTTGAGATACCAGTCTCGTGACTAAAATATCCTGGGTTTGAATCGTATCGGACGGGGAACTTTTTATAACCTATAAAGTGTCGCCCATTAGTGATATTTCAAGCTCTAAGAATTTGAGCAATTTGCCTACAATGGTTTGAAACTAAACATTAAATAAAGAAACTTCAGCTAAAACAGAACAACTACATGCTACCCAAGTTGTAGTTCAATCGGACGGAACAAATAACTCAAGTACATCTTGGCGTGGGGATCACGGTGGCTAAGTGGGTAAGACGCTGGCTCGCTAGCCTGGAGGTCGGGTGTTCGTTCCTTGCATTGGCCGAGGAAGTTCATCGGGATTTTCTGACGTGGTTTCCTCTTGTCAGTGATGTGGGACGGAGATCTGACAAGGACGAAAACCCGAGGTTCCGTATACACATTGGTGTGCATGTAAAAGATCCTTTGGCAGATGGAATTCGATATAAGAGTAGGCCGTGGTGCCGCTGCCCAGGATAAAATTTCCCTCATAGCACACTATATGGTGTATGTCCGTCTTTATTAGCCAGTTTAGAAGCACAACAGTAGGACGTTAAACCCCATTTCATTCCATAACTGAAGTACATCTTGGCGTGAATGTTGTTGTTCTTCTTCTTAGTGTTTAAAGTCCGCTTTCACCGACGGTGATATCGCAGACAATTTTTTTTATTTTTCATTTTTATTATCTGAGCGCACGCGCAGGGGTCTTTCCTGTTGGAGGAAACCGGAGTACCCGGAGTAACCACAAGGTTGAGAAGGCACCCCTATCTCCAAGCCACATACACTCACACCAGGGATCGAAACCACAGCCGCAAGCCAAAGGTGATCGGCCAGCTACAGGTCGAAGGGCGGCACTTTAGACCACTAGGTCATCCGAACCCCCCCCCCCCCCCCCCCGGCATGAATGTAAAAGATCGTTCAAATATAGATCTGTATTTTAATCGGATTCAATATTTATGAATGTTAAACACTATTTTGGGGGGTTGGATGGCTGAATAGTTAGCACGCGCGCGCTGTATCATAAAGTCTGTCATTGAGTCAACTAGCGTGGTTTCGAATCCCCGGTTGTACGTGACAAGGGGTAGGGTCGCCTGTCCAGCCTCATGGGTTTTCTCCGGGTCCTCCAGTTTCCTCCCACTGCTAAAGACCCCTACGCACAAGCGAATTATTGAAATAAAATTAAACCATATGCTAGTCCCGAAATGACCTAGTTTGTGTCGAGTGGACGTTAAACCCCATTTCTCTCTCTCTCCCTAATCACTATTTATCTTCTTCTAGACGTGGAAGCCATGGAACAACAACGTAAGGAGAAGGAGGCGTCTATTGCTGCAGGAACATCTGTTGCCACGACAACTACAGCACCTTACACACCAGATTACGCCGCTGGTCTGATGACGCCAGCTACACCAGTAAGTTTAAATTTCATATATTAACTAACCCTCCCGGTATTCCTACTCAAAGTTTCTTCTGCCCACCACATGTCCAAAACGTACAGTTAAATGAAATGCAAGCACCAGTACATCATTAACAGAACACAGTTTTTATGGCATACAATCACTAGTTTATTCTAAAAGCACGACTTAAAGAATATATACCAGTACATCACCTAACATTCACTCAGCCCCACTGCCTGTCTGGTTTGGTCACAAGTAGGAGAAAATAATCCATAAATTCAAATGACATTAATTTAATTTAATGTAAATTTTCTGCCAAACTTTAAAATTTGCCAGCAAGTCAATTTAACACTTGAATAATTTTGTAAACCACGCCTCTTGACTGGCAGTGAAATTGATCCAACATGTATATAGTGATCTGAAGCCGTCTAAATAATACTTGGAGTGGGGCCTATTGTTTCAGTCATATTTACAAGTTTTAACTGACTATTATGGAAATTGCCTGTCTTTGTAGAACTTGTCTGTCAGTAGATATGCATACCACAAAATTTACATGTAACAAGAATAGTGGTCTGACACCTAAATGAGTTATTTCCCTTTATTAGTAATTCTTGGATGAGGGGGTTATTGTTTCTGTCATATTGACCCGCCTACACTGACTGGCAGTGCATTGAATCCAGCAGTAGAATTGACATGCCACAATATTTGTATGTCAGAGTATTTAATTGTAAAACACATTTGAATAAATAAAGTATAGTTTTTGTCAATCTTTAGAAAAGAATATGTTGCTGACAAAATAAATCAAAAACTTACAAAATTGTAAAGTTAAAGCCCTGTGTTTACTATGGTTAAGTTTAATACCCCTGTGGAGAGATGGTTTAAGCGTAATAGCCCTGTGTGGAGATGGTTAAGTGTAATAGCCCTGTGTGGAGATGGTTAAGTATAAAAGCCCTGTGGGGAGATGGTTAAGTGTAATAGCCCTGTGTGGAGATGGTTAAGTGTAATAGCCCTGTGGGGAGATGGTTAAGTATAAAAGCCCTGTGGAGAGATGGGTGAGTGTGTAGGGTTGTCTTACTAACCTTGTGGGTTGCATTGTGTCCTCCGGTTACCTCCGACTTTTTCTTTGAAACCCATGCCTCTTATTTTATCTATGTTATAACCCTTGAAATTACAGATTTTCTTTAATTTCGACGAAATATTTCTTTTTTTCAGAAATTAGCCACGGTTGTTGTAAGCACGACATCTATACCATTGTCTGCCTCAACGCCGGCGTACGTTCCCTCGGCAACTAGTCGCATACCAAATGTACCAGTTACTGGAATAACACTCTCTGGTAATATAGGTTAGTATACAGATTTAGTCTAGGCTTTCTCAACTTCCTGCGCTTGTACGTGACAAGGAGTAGGGTCGCCTGTCCAACCTCGTGGGTTTCCTCCAGAATCGAATGATTGAAATAAAATTGAACCATATGTTAGTCCTGAAATGATTTAGTTTGTGTCAAGTGGACATTAAATCTCTCTCTCTCTCTCTTGGCTTTGGCTGAACATTCAGGAATTGATTTCTCTCAATAAATATTTACAATCGATTGAAAAGAAAGATTTCCAGCTACAATGCATGCACGGATTGCATAAGAAAATATCTCAACCAACCGTGACAGCTGAAAGATAATCGTGTTTAATTACGTCACGATTTAACTCACACAACGTCAGTTGTCAGGAATGACAGAACTGTGTCGTGACTAAATTCCACATCACTCGATTGCAATTCTGTCAATTCGGAAGCTTCCAGACTGACAATTGAGCATCCCAGTGGTGCGTTAAAAGATCAAATTATTTTGTATGGCCGTGTCAGAAGGTATGTACACGTATATAACAAAGTGGAGTAGTGTTTGTTGGTTGAGTCAACTGGCAGGGTTTCGATTCCCCGGTTGTACGTGACAAGGAGTAGGGTCACCTGTCCAACCTCGTGGGTTTTCTCCAGGTCCTCTGGTTTCCTCCCACTGCTAAAGACCCCTACGTGCAAGCAAATTATTGAAATAAAAAAATTAAACCATATGTTAGTCCCGAAATGACCTAGTTTGTGTCGAGTGGACGTTAAACCCCATTTCTCTCTCTCTCAGTGTTTGTTGGCTAAATCTATTTGTTAACGTCAGCTCAATGTTCGTCAAGATCGTTAGGGCACGTGTTTGTTGGCGAGATTGTAGGTTACGGTTAGCATTGAGGCTAGGTCCAGGGTTAGGGTTAGGGCTAGCTCTGTTTACATCTCGTGATCTATAAAGAAAAATTGAGCTGGCCTTATCATTTAGCACTAACTGTGTTTGTCACTGAATGGGATCATGCTTATTAGTTCTGAATTCTAAAATTCACTGTATTTATTTATAGCTCCATTATCGTCAAATGCTCAGGCTACAGCTAGACAAAATCTTCAACAACAGTTACAGCAACAACTTGGCCAATCACAGATCAGAACACAAACAGTTGTCATGGCACCACCATCAACAACCAATCTACAGCAACCTATTATTGTCCAACCACCAGCTCCTCCTGCTCCTGCCGCTCCACCAATGGTGGCTCAACCTCAAGTAGCACAAGGAACACAAATTAAAAAAGCCCTGTCATTAACGGTAAGATTTTTTAAAAAGAATTTTACATGCATGGAAACTTCTGTCAGTTTACTCAAGTAATATAAAATACCAATCTGATTTAATAATAATAATAATAATAATATATCTAAATTTATGTTCCCGCAACAATACTAATTAAAGTTTCTATTGCGCTAGGCAAATTTTTCAATACTGGTCTTGGAAAGCAGTTGTGAAAAGCAGAGTCTTTATCTGTTGTTTAAACACATGCAGTGATGATATTATTCGAATATGGTGGGGGAGGGAGTTCCACAAGTAGGGTGCTGCAAACCAAAACGATTGTTTTGTTGTTTCGAGATGTATTTACATACAGATCTATATTTCGTTTTGTTTTTTTTATACTTTCGATGGCTTACACTACATGAAGATCTGACAAGTTGTACTCGAAAGTCGTGTCAGGGGTCATACGAACTGCTTTTGACCCTATGACGTCAGACATTGATTAATCAATCAGCATTGACATGTCTACTGGTTTACCCACAGTTCAGTGCATCGCACGTAATTCAGGAATAAAAATTAAAACCATAACAATTCAATTCGGCCAACGCAGGGATTCGAACCTTGGCAATTCTGGTTGATAGGTCAATGGCCTATTGCATAAACACTGAGGCTCCCTGAATCAAATGAAAATGAAATGAAATGGGGTGTAACGTCCTACTGTTCTGCTCCGACCGGGCTAATGAAGACGGGCATATGCCATGCAGTGTGCTATGAGGGAAATTTTGCCCGGGCAGCCAAGATATGGTCTACCTTTATATCAAATTCCAACTGCCAAGGGATCTTTTACGTGCACACCAATGTGTACACAAGACCTCTGTTTTTCAACCCATCCGAACGACTAGACAGCTCCATCCGAATGACTAGACAGCTGGCCTTGTCAGGCCCTCCGTCCTGCACCACTGACAAGGGGAAACGGTGCCAGAAAATCCAGATAAACTTTCTCGGTCAACACCAGGAGCAAACCCGCGACCTTCAGGCTAGCGAACCAGCGTCTTAGCTCCCTGAATCCAAAATATTATTTTCACACCCAGAGAACAACAAAAGTTTTATCTCATTAATGTACCTGAAGATATGATTCTAATATTTTGAAATAAGATCCGCTGACTATTCCGTGTTTGAATATACGTGTTGAAAGTTGTCGTACGATATGGTCATCAATTATTTTAAACCTTTTTCTTTTGTAGCGTGAACAAATGATTGAAGCCCAGGAAATGTTTAGAGATTCTAATAAAGTATCAAGGCCCGAGAAAGCTTTAATATTAGGTTTTATGGCTGGTTCTAGAGGTAAGAGTAATTTTTATTTTATGATCAGTAGTGGAATACCGCGTTTTATCAGTGAAATAAAAGTGTTATTCCACTGGCTAGTTGTTTTTACCTAAAATTATTGTAAAATCATAAAATAAATAGAACATTTGTCGTTTTGTCGTGAATAACATATTTTATTTCATCTCTAAGCAAGAAAACGTTTATATTTTCACTCATGCTAGGCTTTCGTGAAAATATAAGTTTTCTTGCTTCTCGATGAAATAAAATATGTTATTCACTCTAAAACAACAAATATCCTCTATATATTCATCTGTCTTTACATCCGGTCTCTATACACAAGTCTTTCATAATCATCCGGTCTCTATACACAAGTCTTTCATTTACATCAGACCTCTCAACACAAGTCTTAACGAAATAGTGTGCTATGAGAGAAATTTGCCTGGACAGTGGCACTACAGCATATTCTTATTTCAAATTCCAACTGTTATTGGTTCTTTTACATGAATGGCAGTGTGTACACTGGATCTTGTTTATTTTGTCCTATCCAGGTAACTAGACACTGTTTGGGCTAAAGTTGCAATTTCATATTTTTAAGTTATATTTTTAAAATTTATTAAAATAAAGCCTTAAAATAGATGGTATCCATAAACAGTCCTACCTTGTTAAAGAATAATCCTATTAATCCTATAATTTGCTATTGCCAGTTGAGAAATTGGCAAAAATATCATTTTCAACTTCAAATTCAAACATCTGAAGATAGCTATTCCATGGGGAGAATAGAAAAACAAGGGAGGAAATTGTGTTATTATTTCCGTTGTGAAGATTTTTAAGAGGGAGAATAATACCTATGATCGTATGATATTGAGTGGACAACCTACTGAGCAAAAGACAGAAATAATTATGTTTTGACTTTCTTAGAAAATATGAAATTATCGCTTTAAACATATTTCATTACCATAAAGTAAAATGATTAGACAAATATTACATAAACTTATAAAAACATCAATTCCTTCATAATTTCATGAAATTATTCAAGATAACAAAAGGTACAAAATAAATCTTTGGAAAATTGGACCCATCAGATGGCACCGAGACTTGAATATGGTCTCGTCATGTTAATTAATGTCTAATTAATAATAATTTAGATAACATCAGGCTCCTCCATTTTTGGCTCAAATCAAAATATGGCTGAACTGTTCTAATCTATTTAATATCGGAGAAATCCGATGCCATAGAGAGTCGATTATGGTCTGGATAAGTTAATTAATGTCTAATTAATAATTTATATAACATTTCAAGCCTTAAAAAAGATCTGCAATAGGCAGATTTAGCTCTTGTATAATGTATGTTTAAATCTGCATCAGCTGTGGAAATGAAACGAAGTAGGGTTTAACATCCTACTTTTCTGTGTATCATAACGTCTGTCATTGAGTCGACTGGTGTGGTTTCGAATCCCCGGTTGTACGTGGCAAGGAGTAGGGTCGCCCGTCCAACCTCGTGGGTTTTCTCCAGGGCCTCCGATTTCCTCCCACTGCTAAAGATCCCTACGCGCAAGCGAATTATGTAAATAAAATTAAAACCATATGTTAGTCCCGAAATGTCCTAGTTTGTGTCAAGTGGACGTTAAACCCCATCTCTCTCTCTCTCTGTCTCTCTCTCTCTGTCTCTCTCTCTCTCTGTGGTTTCGCATCCCCGGTTGTACGTGACAAGGAGTAGGGTCGCCTGTCCAACCTCGTGGGTTTTCTCCGGGGCCTCCGATTTCCTCCCACTGCTAAAGACCCCTATGCGCAAGCGAATTATGTAAATAAAATTAAAACCATATGTTAGTCTCGAAATGTCCTAGTTTGTGTCGAGTGGACGTTAAACCCCATTTCTGTCTCTCTCTCTCTCTGTGTGTCTCTCTCTCTCTCTCTCTCTAGTTTGATTTCTACTGTCAGGGGATCTTTAACGTGCCGCCAGACCCTCCGTCATGAACCAGTGACAAGAGGAAACCCCACTGCAAAATCCTGAAGAGTGAAATTAATATTACTACAAGGACACTAAAATCGTCATTGTATATGTGACCCGCTCACTCGAAACCAGGCGTTTGTCGCACAACTTCATTTTGTACTAAGAACACAAAAGCGTAAACTGTGTGCCTTCTTGTTGCTGTGAATGAGCCAAACTCCAGACAAAACGACAAATTTAAAAAGAATTGCATTTTTGGCAAGCTCATAGGCCATGGACTATTCAAATATGCTGCCAGCTCTATTTTCATAAAGAGGGGGGTTGGATGGCCGAATGATTAGCACGTGCGCGCTGTATCATAAGGCCTGTCATTGAGTCAACTGGCGCACCCGAATCCCCGGGTTGTACGTGACAAGTAGTAGGGTCGTCTGTCCAACCTTGTGGATTTTCTCCGGGTCCTCCAATTTCCTCCCACTGGCAGCTAAAGACCACTACGCGCAAGCGAATTATTGAAATGACTAAGTTTTGTTTTTGAGTGAACGTTAAACCCCATTTCCCTCTTTTCCCTCTCTATTTTCATAAAGATGACCTAGAGCCTGGTTTTCTGGGAGCGGCTTACATATGGTGTTAACGATACAATTTAATTTTATCATCATTTATTTCAGAAAATCCCTGCCCTCAACAAGGAAGTGTTTTGAGTATAAAATTAAGTGAAGATGACGAACTTGTTCAGCAGACGGATGGGAATAAAAAGATTATGATAGCAGACACATATTTCCAGATGAACTATTTAACGGGTGAATGGAAACGGTTTAAGAAATATCGTGAGAAAACTACGCCTGTTGTTAGCTGATAGTTGATATATCGTGTTGTTTATTTGTATATAGAATCTGTATAGTGTACATATACATTATTGTTATAAATACACAGGGACTTGTAGAGCAACTACCAAAAATACACAGGGGCTTGTAGGGCAACTACCAAATAAACAGGGGCTTGTAGGTCAACTACAGTTCATTAAATGCAGGGGATTGAAGGTCAACTACAATTTATTAAACGCAGGGGCTTGTAGGGCAACTACAATTTATTAAACGCAGGGGCTTGTAGGTCAACTACAATTTATTAAACGCAGGTGCTTGTAGGTCAACATTAATTCATTTAACATAGGGGCTTGTAGGTCAACTACAATTTATATAATAAACAGGGGCTTGTAGGTCAACTACAGTTCATTAAACGCAGGGGTTTGAAGGTCAACTACAATTTATTAAACGCAGAGGCTTGTAGGTCAACATTAATTCATTAAACGCAGGGGCTTGTAGGGCAACTACAATTTATATAATAAACAGGGGCTTGTAGGTCAAATACAGTTCATTAAACGCAGGGGTTTGAAGGTCAACTACAATTTATTAAACGCAGGGGCTTGTAGGTCAACATTAATTCATTAAACGCAGGGGCTTGTAGGGCAACTACAATTTATATAATAAACAGGGGCTTGCAGGTCAAATTCCGTTCATTAAACGCAGTGGTTTGAAGGTCAACTACAATTTATTAAACGCAGGGGCTTGTAGGTCAACTACAATTTATTAAAGGCGGGGCTTGTAGGTCAACTACCATTTAATTAATAAACAGGGGATAGTAGGTCAAATACAGTTCATATAATAAACAGGGGCTTGTAGGTCAACTACAGTTCATTAAATGCAGGGGTTTGAAGGTCAACTACAATTTATTAAATGCAGGGGCTTGCAGGTCAATTACAATTTATTAAACGCAGGGGCTTGTCGGTCAACAACTATGTATAAAACACTGATAAGGAAACGAGGTCCACTCTGTACATATTAGAATTTACTAAAATGGCCCAACATGGCCAGTCAGATTGTATTAACCTATGCCCAGCATGGCCAGTCAGAGGTTTTAACATAACCTATGCCCAACATGGCCAGTCAGAGGTTAATAACCTATGCCCAACATGGCCAGTCAGAGGGTAATACCCTATGCCAAGCATGGCCAGTCAGAGGGTGATAATAAAAACCCAACATGGCTGCCTGGATGGTGAGAATCGGATTCAGACCAGTTATTTGATAATCTCACTTACATGTACTTAGTCACAGCATAATTTTATTTTTTAAAGAGATTTTCCATGTCACAAGCATTTGTTTTTAACTGTTTAAAACTTTGATCTTATTATTTGTAAACAAATTCAAGTCACTGTTTTTAATTTCATATTATTAATCAGATGTGTTATTTGCCCTGCATTCAATCTAACATTGAACCCTGAAAACCTCCTTTGAATTAGCATATATGGAACTTTATTAAAACTCAATTGAAACTCGCATACGGGGGGGGGGGGGGGGTGTTGGATGGTCGAATGGTTAGCATAAGACCTGTCATTGAGTCAACTGGCGTGGCTTCGAATCTACGGTTGTACGTGACAAGGAGTAGGGTCACCTGTCCAACCTCGTGGGTTTTCTCCGGGTCCTCCGGTTTCCTCCCACTGCTAAACATCCCTACGCACAAGCGAATTATTGAAATAAAATTAAACCATATGTTAGTCCCGAAATGACCTAGTTTGTGTTGAGTGGATGTTAAACCTCATTTCTCTCTCTTTGTCTCTCTGAAACTTGCATACAAGAATTCAGAAATGATAAAGATATTTTAATTTAAATCAATATGATTAAAATACAGATCTATATTTCGTTTTGTTTTTTTATACTTTAGATGGCCTACACTACATGAAGATCTGACCGGTTGTAGCAATAGGTCGCGTCATACGAGAGGCTTTTGACCTATGACATCAGACATTTGATTAACAAATCGGCATTGATTTTACTAGTGGATTACCCACAGTTCTGTGCAAAAAACGCCTAAAGCTGGCCGTAACAGACCGTTTCATTGGCTAATAGCTCACATCATTCAGAACACGATAATGATAACAACTGTTCCAGATCCTAGTGTAGTAAAGACAAGTAAAACGAAATTTTGAACTATAAAAAACGAAACGAAATAAGATATGTGTTTTAATCGGATTGAATTTAAAGTAAGTTTAATGTAATTCTTCATGAAAAAATCCCCTGTATGTGTCTAGGTGTATTTCTCATTCAATTAAGCGTTGCGACATCAAAGCAGTGTTAATAGTTGTACCAAGTCCCTGTGTATAATCTGTCACATTTGTTATTACTCTTCAATAAAAAGACACAGCATTGAGAAGTTCATCTCTGATCGTTATTTTGAATTTCTTGTAAACAACAATATTGCAAACTACGACATTGTTAAAGTAGAATCTCTAAAAGTAATATCAGTCTAAAAATAGACTGGGGGGGGGGGATGGCCGAATGGTTAGCATGTGGGCGTTGTATTATAAGGTCTGTCATTGAGTCAACTGGCGTGGTTTTCGATTCCCCACTTGTCCGTGACATGAAGTAGAGTCACCTGTCCAACCTCATGGATTTTTTCCGAGATCTCCGGTTACCTCCCACTGCTAAAGACCCCTACACGCAAGTAAATTATTGAAATAAAAAAAAAAAACATAAGTTAGTCCCGAAATGACCTGGTTTGTGGCGTGTGGATGTTAAACCCCATTTTTCTCTCTATTCACTATTTACAAAGATATGGTGAACTAAAAAATTCCCCAAATTCAGGATTCTCTGTATACAATAAACAAGTTTGACCTAAGTACAAGAGATTCTACCCTTGATATTTTGTTTTGGTTTTCTTAATCGAATTTTGAATAATCAATTTAAATACATTTAGTTTGAATTAAGCCATTGATATTTAGATTGTGTTTACTTTTAAAGATACATTATGGAAGAATAAATAAAGAGCTGGCAGTTCTCACTATAATAGTTAAAAACTAGATAATGAAAAGGGAATTTGCTGAAAATTTCAATCAAATTGATACATTCTGAACCGAATTTTTAGCATTGAATTTTCGGCCTAGCCTGGGTATTCATTACTAAAGTCGGTAGGATAAAAAACATAGTCTCGGTGGTTATCCATTTCATGATTTAATTATGAATGGAAGTCGAACAGCAAATCGGAACCTAATCCAATAAACATCGCAGTCTAGCGATGCCATCGAGAGTTGATTATGGTCTGGATAAGTTAATTAATGTCAAATTAATAATTTAGATAATATTACAGGCCTAAAGAAAGACCTGCATTAGGCAGATTTAGCTCTTGCATGTATGTTTAATTAAATGATAAATGAGATATTGTTCGAAATATGTAAATAGCAATCGGCGGCTTTAATGTATGGTTTTATGAAAAGTCCCCTATATTTTTTTATTTCTACATGTAGTCTTTGTCGTCACTGTAAAGTTGATATCATTCACTTGTAAACACATGACTATTACTAATGAAAATATCTGATACAAACAGATCGAAGTCTTCATTTTAAATGCATAATGGTTAGTTATCAGACAGTGGTCATGTAAAGACTGTGACTATTGAATGATATATACAGCTATTGGTTTGGTTTGTGTATTCAATAGTTGTAGATATTAGGAATAGTCACACTTTTACAGGTGGATTCATACCTACTACCGTGTTATATCTAACCACTTTCTATACATATTAAACATAAACATTAGTTTAGAGTAGTGGTTCTTAACCTTTATTTGCCAACGGGACACCTTGGAACGCATGAAAAACAAAATGCGGCACACCCGCCTAAATATATATGAAAAATATTTGAATTTTGCAAAATAAAAACGTGGCAGGTCATAGACGGCATGCATCCGTAGACACGGACTAGTCATACACACATAGAATGACTCAAACTAAATAAAAAAAAAACACAACTATAAACTTATCAGTAGACACCAGTGAAAGTCAATTGGGATCACGTGATATTTCGCATTGTCTTAGTGTGCCGTTCAAAACTTCGCGGCACACCTAGGAAGATCTCGCGGCACACTGGCTAAGAATCACTGATTTAAAGTAATGAGAACTTGGGTGATTTAATGTAAAATATGTCCTAACTAAAATACCTGTCTCCGTAAGTAACGGTACCAGTTTCACAGTGCGTGTTATTATTTGTATGACGTCAAGCTGATGATGTATGATGTGTTATTACTTTTATGTCGTCAAGCTGATGTATGCCGTGTTATTACCTGTATGACGTCAAGCTGATGTATGACGTCCTATTATTTGTATGACGCCAAGCTGATGTGTTATTTTCTGTATGACGTCAATCTGATGTATGACGTGTTATTATCTGTATGACGTCAAGCTGATGTATGACGGGTTATTACCTGTATGACGTCAAGCCGATGTATGACGTGTTAATAGTTGTATGACGTCAAACTGATGTATGACGTGTTATCTGTATGACGTCAAACTGATGTATGACGTGTTATTACTTGTATGAAATCAAACTGATGTACATTGATATTGTCTGTTGATTGTCATAAAAACGAAGGATTTTAAAATAATGTTTTCATTAATCTTTGATTATAAACAAACGTTTTAGGAATGGACTTCTTTTTGTCTGAAAATGATCAGACCTTTTTGATTTAGTTAAAGATAACACATCCGCCTTGGTTATTTGACAAATACGGTATCAGTTATTCAGGCTATATCTATTTCAATTTGGTACATAATTGTTTAAATTCGGTATGCCACCCTCACCCCCTGGAGCCGACTCTGTGGTTGTCAAGACATTAAACGTCATTCGTTCTCCCAGCAAGGCCATGTTCAGTATTCAGATGGTTTCATTTCTTGCTGATAAATGACTTGGGAATCTTCTTGTACTGGTTTCCATGGTTATTGAATAACTATGAATATATTGTGTTGATCAGAGCCGAGATCAAATTTATACAAGCTTAGTATCTGGTCAACTACAGCAATGGTCGCCATTTTTACATATTACACAATTATACAGAATATAAGTTATTTAAAAGATTTATTTTTGGCGACCACTTAAGTAGTTGGTGAGACGCTGTCTATATATGACTCTAGGTTCATCTAATGGTATTAAATTTAAAGAATTGAATTGTTTTAGTGAGAGGATTAGTGGAATATGTCAATCAGAAAATAATGATTTGTAAGATTGTAGCTTGTCATAATATAATATGTTTAAACTACATGCACAGACAGAACCTGGTCTGGGCCTTGTTTCTCGAAATCTTAAAGATAAAATCCAAATTTTAGCAGATACTCCAATTTTGATTGGCTAAGCACTAAAATCAATCTAATATTATTATCCAACCAGATTACTAAAATTTGGATTTTATCTTAGTTAACGTTTCGTGAAACAGGCCCTTGTTTATATAAATAATAATACCACTACTTTAAAAGATTTATTATAAAGTTTTAATTCATGTCTTAATGTACTACTTAAAGATGAATTATGTAAGATTTAGATAAAGACTTAGTCGTTCTTGCTATCGAAGTGTGGATTATCCGTTTTTTGACGTTAATCAATTAAATAATGTTGATTTTCTAATCCAATTAATATCCCAGTCAACCGATGGTAGACTTTAAACTCTATATCTTTCTATAATTTGCCTGTTAACACAAGGTACAATTTTATGGATAAACTGAGTTTAATACTAAGCGACATTTCCACGAGGATACTCTCATCTTTATCAAAGCAAATGATAAACTCAATAGTTTTGTATCCATAAAATTGTACCTTGTGTTAATATGTTCAATTACTAAATGCCAGTCAAAAAAATTTGCCTGTTGTTACTAGAGATTATAACATGGTCATGAACATCCTTGGTATGCCCAGTGGTGTTGTTCCATAAACATCTTTGGTATGCCCATTTGTGTTGTTCCATAAACATCCCCGGTATGCCCAGTGGTGTTGTTCCGTTCAACTCCACTAACTCACTTATTAAGTGCGGATAATTTAACTATGTATCTGTCCCGTGAATGGACCGAGAGGCTACCGAGGATGGGATTTGAACCGCGGTTTTATTATTGCACACAGTGGAAATTAAGAACCCGACCAATAATAAAGACGTTTCCATGTAGTCAGTTAGAAATTTGCAATTGTTATCATAGTCACTTTAAGTTCTTCTTTTGTTAATAAATGATCACTTATTATTGTTGTTGTTGTTATTATTAAAGGGGGGGGGGGGCACGGTGGCTAAGTGGGTAAGACGCTGGCTCCGCTAGGCTGGAGGTCGGGTTTTCGATCCCTGCATTGGCCGAGAAAGTTCACCCAGATTTTCCGGCATGGTCCCCAGTTGTCAGTGATGCAGGCCAGAGGGCCTGACAAGGACAGCTGTCTAGTCATTCGGGTGAGACGAAAAACCGAGGTCCTTTGTACACATTGGCGTGCACGTAAAAGATCCCTTGACTGTTGGAATTCGATATAAGAGTGGGCCGTAGTGACGCTGTCCGGGCAAAATTTCCCCCATAGCACACTGTATGGCGTATGCCCGTCTTCATTAGCCAAGTTCGGAGCAAAACAGTAGGACGTTAAACCCCATTTCATTTCAATTCAGATTCTATGGTATTAACACCGGTTAGCATGTACGCGTTGTATCATACGGTCTGTCATTGAGTTAACTGGCGGGGTTTCGATTCCCCGGTTGTACGTCACAAGGAGTAGGGTCGTTTGTCCAACCTCGTGGGTTTTCTCCAGGTCCCCTGGTTTCCTCCCACTGCTAAAGAGCGAATTATTTAAATTAAAACTGAACCGTATGTTAGTCCAGAAATTACCCAGTTTGACTTGAGTTGACGTTACCACCCTCTCTCTCTCTCCCTCTCTCCCCGGTGGCTGCTCATCTTATGCACTGGCGCACTAACCACGATCTCTCTCTCTATTTCACATATACCATGACAAACCCCTGGCGTCGAAACGACCTTAAGACCTAAGAGTCATTTAAAGTTATAAACTTTTCCGGTTACTGTTGAATTATAATATGTAAATAATTGGTGACTTCCGGTGATAATAGAACCTTATAAACTATCAGAAGATGACACGGAAGTAACCATTTCTATAATGCACTGAGTCGATTTGTTGTTATTTCCGGTTACATTTCATTGATGTATATCAAGGTCGTTACTCAGATATCAAACTAGATGATATATACATACATCACGTTTAAGTGGCCAGTTGAGAGAGAGAGAGAGTTTATAATCGCGTCAATCGGATTAAAATACATATCTTTATTTCGTTTCGTTTTTTTTTATACTTTTGATGGCCTACACTACATGAATGAACATCTGACCTGTTGTAGTGATAGGTCATACGAGCGGCTTTTGACCCTATGACGTCAGACATTTGATTAACCAATCAGCATTGGTGTTTCTAACGGATTACCCACAGTTCCGTGCATCACACACCAAAAGCTCGCTGTAACAGACCGTTTCATAAGGTCTGTCATTGAGTCAACTGGCATGGTTTCGATTCACTGGTTGTATGTGACTAGGAGTCACAACCTCGTTAGGTGTAGATAATAGCTCACGGGATATAAATGTCGTATTATTCAATGTTACCGGGAAAAAGTTTGGCAGGCTTCGTGACGCGGCCCGCAGGCTGGAGTCCAACCATGAAACTATTCAATTGTTTTTTTCGGACAACTATTAATTATTTTTATTGAAAGGGTGATTACTTTCCATCATTTTCAGCATGTTTTCATGATACAAAGAATGGCTGGCCATTCATTTTCAGTGCAAAGGACCTAATTTGACCTTTGAGCCCCAATATCTCGAAAACGTCCCAAGGACGGACTGATTACCTCTCGGCAACGTATTCTACGAACAATTTTACTTGCGTTTGTCCCCATTTTATGGACACCCCCTCCCCGAAAATAACATTCCGAAAGTAACAAACTTGACCAAACCAACTTTAACAAATTTATTTTTCACATGGTACGGGCCATTTTTCAAAATGGCTGACAAATTTGGTAAGGAAATGGCATTGTCCCCGTATATAACCAGGCACTATCGCGTAAGATATAAATTTTACTATGTCTTTTATATGGTTTTCGATGTCTCTGAATTTAAAAATGAATTTTGAAAATCCAACATGGTAGAAATTCAAAATGAAAGCCAAAATGGAATCCAAAATGACGGATTTTAAATTCTGATTTTAAACTTAGAAATTCAAAATGGCCCCTAAAATGAATTTATCGTCATTTTCTTTCGTGGGATATAGCCTGTAATATGCCTTAGATAAAGTTTTTGAGGTTACTGGGTTAAAACTAACTTTGAAAACGGCAGTCAAAATGGAATCCATAATGGCGATTTTGTCCATGTGGACATTGCTTTTAAAATATACATTGTATCTAATAAGATTTTCAGGGTTACTAAATTCTATTTTGGGTTCAAAATTGAATTTAAGAATTTCAAACATCTGTTAGCGTTCCCTTTTTTAAGTGCGATTTTCTTCATTTGGTATGTCCTTCGGTAACGTGAAGTTGGCACGTTATTCGGGATTCGCGAATCCCGTGCTGGCTCGTTATTCGGGATTCGCCAATAACGAATAACGAGCCAGCACGTTATTCGGGATTCGGGATTCGCCACTGAAAGAGAACGATCTATCTTGCATCCGACCATTTCCTCGTTGGGTGACCGATTAGCACGGAGACGACCGTTTCTAAAGCACGTAGGGTGCTGACTGGTTTGTTAGATTCGCCACTAAAACAGACCGGCCTACGTTGCATCCGACCATTTCCTCGCTACCCCCGACCGTAGGGGTAAGTGAACGTTGGGTGACCGACTAACAAGGTGTTGACTGGTTTGTTGATGTGCACTGGGCAGTCCTCTACTGCACTCGCTGTGCCAATTGCACAGTATATTAAAAGTCAAGACAAATCAAAGTTCAATGTTTATTAAAATTACCGGTGGTTCAATCCCATAATATGAAACACAGTGAAATTCTAACAGTCAACCGATATACATACTAAAACAGTTTACCGAATGGGTTTAGATGTCCGTATCTAACCACACATTAACAAATTCATTTAACTCACTGAATTCACTGGTTTTCAAGTTGTTTGGGATCACATCCACAAACAAATACCGAAGGAACCGTCCACACTTGGAAATGACAACCACGCCATGATTTATACCGGGAACTACCAAAAACGAGGCGCGGATTAAGACCGCCAGTAAGGTTTTCTGAAAACCAGTGAAACCGAAAGTAGACATCCAACTGTACCCTTATACATTTCACAAATAACAATATTAAAGGTATACTAAAGGGGTATGGTAGCTACACCAGCCCCTACATAAAAATGACAGTTAACATTTTTATGTACAAAAGATTAGTTTCCATTTTAATTCTTATGGCTAACTCAGTAATAAACACAAATTACAAATTTCCAAAATTGTTACTTAAACATACATTAATAACTAATTATCCAAAATAACAGGTTCGTCCAATTCAAGTAAACATACTTTATGAATTGGTCGAGTAAGAATAACATAACCATCTTTAATGTTAGCATCCCTGTGATACTTTGCGCAAGTCGCAACGGTTACTTTTGTTTTAAGCTTAACGGTGCGCACAAACCCATCCTTGGACACAAATACTTCCACAATTCGAGCCAAGGGCCACTGACCGCGCGGGTAATTATCATCCGCTAAAAGCACCAGATCCCCAACGCATATGTTACGTTTGGCTTGATTCCACTTTGATGTAGGCAAATATTCCATGACCCATCGGCGCCAAAAAACATCACTCAAATATTGGGCCTGTTTCCATTTACGTTTTAAATATAAGTCCTTCTTTTCGAAGATACCCGGGGGTAAACTATTACTGCACCGAAGATGCAACAAATGATTTGGTGTTAAAGACCCGTCTTCTAAAACACTGTCACTGTTTCTTGTTAACGGCCTACTATTCAAAATAAACACAACTTCGGCTACAACAGTTAATAAAACTTCATCCGAAACTAACTGTTCCTTTAATACAGATTTTAATATTTGGCGTACTGAACGAATCATTCGTTCCCACACGCCACCCATGTGGCTGGACGCAGGTGGATTAAAATTCCAAGTTGTATTCCGCTGAACACAAAATCTAGAGAGTTTAGACTGATTAAAATCCTTGAGTGTCTCTTTAAGTTCCTTGTTCGCACTTGTGAAGTTCGAACCATTATCCCTCCATATCTCCTCTGGTTGGCCGCGAACACTAACAAATCTCCGTAAGGCATTTATCATAGAATCTGTGTTAAGCGAATGTGCAATTTCTATATGCACAGCCCTTGAAGCCATACAAGCAAAAAGGCAGCCGTACCTTTTCACAATACTTCGTCCCTGTTTCACTAACAAAGGTCCGAAATAATCAATTCCAACGCATGAAAACGGTGGTTTATCAGCAATAAGTCTTTGTTTCGGTAAATTGCCCATAAATTGAGTTTCAGTTGGCTTAGATCTCCTCTGGCAAGTTACACATTTTGAAAGTATCCGTCTTACGGCTGATCGACCCTTTATTATCCAGAACTTCTGTCTTAAAGTGGCAAGAACCGTTTCTTGTCCCATATGGCTCTCACTAACATGACACCGAGTGCCTGTATGGCACAATTACTGGATGTTTTGCCAATCCATCAATTGAAGCATTCTCCAATCGACCTCCAACACAAAACAGTTCATTTTCAAGTTGAGGATCCAATTTAACCAACGAAGATCCAACCTCCTTTAATGACAGCTTATTAATATACTATTCAAAAAAATTAGGGGATATTTGATTTTTAAGTGTTATTTGTCACCTAATGAAACTGACGAAGAAACAAATGACAAAATGAAATGAAGTTCACATTCATCGATTTATTCCAAATGATCGTTAGACTAAGTAAGGCACAGACTGACCATTATAAGGGTAAAATGATACCCGGGGTCAAACAGCAAAGTTACCACAGCATCACAACCAAGTCAGTAACGGGTAAATCCTCCTCTGTTTGCCAAACAAGCATTGATCCGACGTGGCATACTCCTAATGAGACGTCTAAGGTCATTTTGGTCCAGATTGTCCCATTCCTGTTGCAACGCAGTAGCAAGTTCTTGGACATTGGCAGGACGTTGTTGACGTTGACGTAACCTCTGTCCAAGCATGTCCCAGACATGCTCGATGGGGGAGAGGTCGGGACTCA